TCAGGACAAGGTGCGTTTCTATAAGTCTTCCTACCATTATGACCAAGTTGCGAAAACAAGGTCAAACTACTTATATACAACGAAAGGAGACTGCGACCACACAAAAGGTCACACCATCTTAGCTTTCATATCTTCGATCAAACCAGCGTAAGTTTATCTAATGTTGATGCATATTTAGGCATGTGGTATTTTGCATTTTATGTAAGCAACAACACCTCACATGACTTAGATATCGCATACATACACTAAACAGTACCATATACCTAAACATGTGTCATTAGAGGATCGTACGCTGATTATTTATTTAAGGAAACAGCTTCGAGCTTACTTAGCATGAAACAATTCACCCATCTGCAAGCATGAAATAACTAATTTAATCATAGGATGCCTCATTTATACATAATAAGAGTATATTCACATTCGGTCATATTTTCTCTTGATTCAGCAAATTTGCGAGCTTTTTTGTAAAGCATTGCATCTCACTCTGATGATGTCTGTCAGATAACATAAAGAACATATAACTGATATATCTGGGCCAAGCTGGGTACTTCTTCCCACAACCTACCATTACCACTCTTAGGCATTCCTCCTACGGTTCCCGGCGATGAAAATTCACGAATTCCATCCAACAGATATTTTAACCTTAAATAAATGAATTATTATTCTTCATTCAAAATTCGCTTATAAGTGGTTCATAAAGAAAAGCAAATTTCATTCTTACTAATAAAGCATAAATTTATGCAAGAATTAAAATTTTGTTAGGAATTAAAGTGACAAGAAAATAATCCTAAGGATAATACTAGTTGCTAAAAATTAAATTAGAAGTTTCCAGATGACTTTAGGGAAATGAAGACTCGTATTAATGATAGTTAAGAAAAGCACTTGCTAATAGACTTTTTCAGAAGAGTAAGAAAATGATGTGACTTTGAGATATAATAAAATTATTATTTATAATAAAAAAAAGCAGGCAACCACACTAGCCCTAAGATTGATAATATGAAAAAAACATACCTTTGGCAGAATTTTCGACGCGATAGGCTGGATCATATTCCGGATATATGCAATTGACAAGTTGAAAACGGACTGTTTGAACTGTACGCTCAATTACATCCTCCACGTATACCTCTCGCGGCATGTCATTAGACGTCATTAAATGAATGCCAATAAGCCCAGAATGAACGCTGCGCATCACGCGTTCCATGGCTAACTCGCGCCATCTCTTGCTTTCATGTTCATCTGCCTCTTCCTCCTGAGATAAAAATAAAGTAATGATGAGGAGATTGGACGAAACAAGCACCAACGAAGCTCTTTCAAGCATTCCACAAATGACGGAGAAACTAAGTAAATATGTCAATGCGTAGTTTCCACCAAGCTTTGATAATTTGAGCAAGACTAATTGATAACGAAATTAAAAGACATCAGTTTAAAAAACAGCAGCATTTTGAAAGGAACCGCATTAGTGCAAAAAGAAATACGAATTGAAGAACATATAAAGCTAAATAGGATCTAAGCTTTAGAAAAAATGTCAGGAAAAAAGTAATACAATCGACAAGGTAAGTAATAAAGTAGAATTGAGATTAGAAAAAGATTTTTAATAATTACGTTCGTTGCCCGTCATGTAACCGACATATGGACACTATAAGCAGTCTGGTATATTCGTTTAAGTTCGAAGTGCGATTGCCAGTAAATTGTATTGAGGATCAAAATGGTTTGTCAAAAATCTGCGAATCATTTAAAAGGATAACATCCAGTAGATGTGATAAGCCAGGTATCCTACAGATTACCAATGGGCCTACGCTTTCACCCAAACAGAGCATGGCTATATGGAGGAATCGACTGGCACAACGTAATCACTTCGTAACAAAGAAACCTGTAAAATTCTCACTTAAGATCAGTATGGTTAGTAAAGCTGGGAAACAACTGACCGGTCGGAGCGTGGCTACGACACCAACTCCATCTCTTATGTTTAGGAGTAGAAGGGTCAAAAGTTTGACGAGCCGATCGTTAGGAATCTGGTTCGCAATTCGCATCGCTTTTAACTTGGCTGCATCTCGACATAACTCTGCTAGGTCATTGGGATCGAGTATCACTTCTGGTGGTACAGGGCCTTCAGAATCCTCGAGGCCGAGAATACAGCTACCGTTACCGCTGGCTTCGACAATGGAACCGAATCGGCCTCCGTTGACGGCAGAGATGCGAACGCCATCTTCATCATCAGCATCAGCATCACCATCCTAAATACGTTGATCAAAAGATAAGAAAAATCCAAAAATAAAACTAAACAAGCTAAGACGTGTGAATCCCCTAGATTAAAAAAATAATTAAGATGAAAAAAACTGAAAAAAAGAATGGAAGATATGTGAAGCTGTGGAGTTAAAATAAAATCAAGAGAACCTAAATCAGATAGAGAGTTAAATTTGGATATTATCAACAATTGCTAAAGTAAAATAAATAAAAGAATAGATAGAAGCTTAGAATAGCTGATAAGTCGTTAATTTAAAGACAACGAAAAGGAATAGACGTAGATAAGAAGGCCAACATGTTGTAGCCTTTATTTTGGTGGCAGTCTCCTTTCGATGTAAATAAGTGGTCTGACCGCGTAATGGAAACTTGGTCATGTTATCAGGCAGACTTAGTTAGATGCATCTTCTCTGAAATCATCTGCTATAGAACTTATCGTTATTCTAAGCGTTAGAGCGTGGACTTAGTAAATTCCCAGTTTCGCCGGCATCATGAGTGAGTTTTGCGCTTCTCAGCACCAAACAACAATTCATCAGAGACAAGTGAAGTCAATCCCTTTATCAAACTTTCTGCCGAAACGGTGAAATAAAATGTAATATACTTGAGGTAGGAATGACATAGCTATTCGGAAAAAGGTTGGTCAAAGATATTAATTTTTTGTCACTTTAATGTCGGAGAAATAAATTGGAATTTATACACTTAAAGTTCGATGCTGGAGGTATATAATAAAATTAATTGATAAAATTCACTTTAGTGTACAATCTTCAATCTTTCTAAAGGCAGGAATAATTTGTGAAAATAAATCTATATATCGAAATAAAGAGCGGGATCAAACCAAAGGCATGCCATTTAGATCTTCCTAAATGAAGGTTTTTTTCATTATATAACTCGAATAAAATTGATCAAATGGAAGTCAGGAAAGTCAAAATTTTTATAATTATATAGGATCAGTTAAATATCGAGACTATATACATGTGTGAGGCCTAAACTATCCAAGCCATAAGACTTGTAATTAAGGTTAAATAGCAAAGAGAAAAAAATGTGAAAAACAAGCATTATCTTTAAATTATCTTGACAAATTATTTTGGTCAAGATTGAAATAAGTCTTATTGAATAAATCTATTTGTATTCTATAAAAAATTATCGCAAGCAAACGGCCTGTTTACTAGATAAAATGATACTTAACTTAATATCAATGGGATTGATTATTTGAGTTTCAGATAATGTAGATACAGAAAAATCTTTAACTTAAGGGATTTTGTCATTGAAATTTAAAGCCTATAATACTATTAACGCTATGGGTGCTGATAATGCCCAGCTTAAGTTTAAAGTCAAGATAAGTATGGATGAGAACACCTGGATGCATGGGAAAGAGAAGTTTAATTATAAAATCAAGCAATCCTTCACATCATCTTGTTGGATTCATCAATACTTCAAAAAAAGCAAATCCAAACAAGATTATGAGGGAAATAATCAATACATAATAGCATTGAATCAAGTATCATTTCTTATGATCGAACTTTTCATGTCAAGGGAAAAGCTAGTTGAAAGAAATGAATAAAGTGACAGCGCTAGAAATGAAAGATAATTGCCTGAGTTGACTTTTGCGAATAAGTCCTGGGAGCAACGTCCTGTGACCCCTATGAATCCATGCTGAACTTGCGTATGTCATGTGACAGATATGGTCAGAATCAAAGCATTACTTGTGAAAACACGAATACATTAAACTAAATGAGTGGTAGATCGCAACCCTACTATCTTTGTATACTTTTAGTAAACCTAATGGAGCATGACATGATTTCGTTAGCTACATCCTGTTTACTCTATACGTTGATGCGCTAAGAGGATGTGAAAGTTATCACAGCTGTTCGCTAC